TCTCAAGTTGGTTATTCAAAAATTTATCTGTATTTTTTACTTTGTTAATTTCCATAGATTCTAATACAAATAGCTTGAGCCCTTTATTTTGAATGTGGAGCATTTAAAATTGGTGATTAAAAAAATTATTGTGATCTAGAAGGTGAAAAGTGAGGTGAATCTGTTTTTCTATTATTTAAAGCCCTTTTGTATTTTGTTATATGTTTGTTAAAGGTTTTGCCAGTTTGACCGATGTAAGTTCTTGGGCCGTCACCACATGTAAGTTTGTATGCACTAGTGTGTAAGTGCTTTTTCTTCTGGCTCTTCTTGTTCTTAATATATTTGCTTAAGTTGTTGTTTGTTCGTAAGGCTGGTGTTATTTCTTTGTTTTTGTATGTGTTTGGCTATTTTTGTTGATACCTTACCTTTGTAATATATAATCGAGCAGAATGTACTGGGTTTTTTCTGTTTGTAGTAGAAAGACTTATTTCAGGGCTGTCTTATACAATACAATAAACAAAATTTTAAACCAAAAATTTCACCAAGAAGCCCATAAAATTAGTCTTTCTGGCACCAAAGAAAAACCTAGTACCTCCTGATCAATGACATATATAGGTATGATCATTTTACTTACTGTCATGTCATGTCATGTGTGTTAGTTTGCATAAAGGGTACTCCTCGTTAAGATAGGCAGAATGCACTTGTTCTCAGAATTCAATTGTTTTTTTTTTTGATTAAAAATAAGAATCAACGCAATTTTAGTATGATATCCTGCTGTCCTCCCCTGCTTTAAAAACGCTATGTTTTCGGTTTTGTATTTTTTTTTTTCGGTGGGTTGCAATTTAACAAATTCAAAAAAATCCCTACTAGAATTGAGGCTTATACAAAACTTACCCTTTATTATAGACCCATATGCATAGACATAAAATATAAATAGACTGATAGCTTCAATACACGCCCGTTATTCCAGTGCGAATAGAGAAAACACGGACCCAAAGCAATCCCTGCATCTCTTTCTAATTTGCTAGGTTTTTTGACCACGTAACCTACATGACCAATAAGCACTCTCACAGATGCTACCTGCAAGAAAACTGAGGCTTTCGAAATGTGGCTTAATCTTTGAATCCTAAAGATATCATATACTAACCACGTTATTAACTAGGACGTTTTAGTAAGAATACAAACAAGAGCTTTTAACAACAATAAAAATGGTCCAATCAAATACCTAGGTCAGATTATGAGGGACAGCGAAAGACATGGATTGCTGCAACTTATTTTTCAGGGAAAAGTAAGAGGAAAATAAGGCCCAGAAATTCAAAAGAGTTCCTGGCTGAAAAATCTACGTATGTGGTTCAACAGAACAACCACAAATCTTTTCAGAGCAGCAGTTTACACATGATATTGTATGAAATACAGATTGCCATGATGGTCGCCAACATCCGAAACGGATAGTCACTACAAGAAGAAGAAGAAAGACAGCAGTCACAGCTGCCCGTAACACGTTTCGCAAAAACGTAAATTCACTCAAATAAACAAACATCTGAAAAAACCGTCTCTTCTCTACTCTTTATCTAATAATTATTAACTGTAAATTAAATGTAAAATTATTCTCATAAGATAAATCAGAATAATAACATAGGGGTGACTTTTCGCTTCTAGACCCAAAGCCCCGAATACCCGAATTGCCTTCAAAACACATCTCTTATCTAGAGAGTTATTCCTGTGGCATTTTAGTGAGGTCGTTAGTTACTTTATACATTTTTATTTATAAATTCTTTATAATGGTGGTGAAAATATTTTATTAATGTCGCCAAATTTTAAAAACTAACCCCCCAAAAAGTCCAACGTTTTTTAAAATTTTTAAACTCCATCTTTCCAATCTATGTATCTTAACAGATGCGTAGTGATTATGAATAATGCGATTCTTCCAGGGATAGTATTGCTCTTTTTACGCTGTCTCTCCATCTGTCTCTGTCTTCTTCTTTAAGTTCCATCTTCTATCGAAGGTTGGAAATCATCATGGCTATGCGGACTCTGTTGACTGCCGCTGTAAAAAGTTCTGCACTACTGCATTCAAACCATTCCCTCAAGTTCTTAAGCCAGGATATTCTTCGTCTTCCTACATTTCGCTTTCCTCGCATTTTGCCCTGCATAATAAGTTGTAATAATGCGTATTTTTGCCCTCTCATCACATGTCCCAAGTACTTAAGTTTTTGTCTTTTAATGGTTAATATTATTTCCGCCTTATTTCCTATCCTTCTAGTTACTTCCATGTTTGACATTCTTTGAATCCATGATATTCGTAGGATTCTTCTGTAACACCAAAATTCAAAGGCGGCCAACTTATTCAGATGAACTTTTTTTAGTGTCCAAGCTTCCAGACCATAAAGAAGAGTAGAGAACACGTAACATCGAAGCATTCTTAGGCGTAGTTCTAACCTTATATCCCGACAACAAAGAAACTTTTTAAGTTTAATAAATGATGTACGTGCTATTTCAATACGTGTCTTAATTTCTTTGGTTTGGTCTACATCTGATGTTATCCATGTTCCTAAGTATTTATAGTTATTAACACTCTCAATTGCAGTATTTTCAATAGTCAATTGGACATTTGCATGTGCAGATATAGTCATGATCATGCATTTAGTTTTTTTTAAATTTATTTTCAGTCCGTACTCATGACAGCGTTCATTAAGGCGTTGCATTACGTTCTGTAAATCATTATTGTTATCCGTAGTTATTACTGTATCGTCTGCAAAACGTAAGTTTTTCAAAACTTCTCCATTGATAGATATACCTTCTATTGAGTCTAAGAGCGCTTCTTGAAATACCGCTTCACTCTAGACATTGAAAAGTAGTGGGGACAGCACGCAACCCTGGCGGACTCCTCTCTGTATTTTGATATTTTCGGTGTACTGGCTGTCAACTCTTACCTTGGCAGTTTGATTCCAATATAAATTAGATATAATTTTTAGATCACGACTGTTAATATTTTTGCTTTTTAATATATCTACAAGCTTTTTATGTCTGTCTGTCTCTGTAGTCTCTCTATATTGTCGGCACATGTTATATGTCTAAAGAATGTTAATCTGTTTAAATATATGAAACCAAAAAGAATTGTGGATTGAATGCTGATCTATTGCTGTTAATTCTATCGATAATCCATATTATTGTCTTATTTTTATTAATTTATAGTCTATGTTCTTCGTTAACCTTTTGTATTTTGTCGAGTATAAATCTCTTCCTCACTTTGGGCTATAAAAAAATTTGTCATTAGCAAAGAAGAATTGAATATTCTCAATAATGATGCTAGTTCATAATAAAGTCACTGGCCTTTGAAAGGAACATACGCTAAAACAAAGAGAAAGAAATCGGTCATTGGCTTAAATTGGTCTAATACCTTAAAAACAGGTGCGTTTTTCTATTTATTGAATAAATTAACGATATATTGATAAATCTTACCACATAAAATGCAGGTCTCACTCCAAACTTCAAACGTCAAAATGCATCTTAATAGGAGACTTAAAAAAAACTGACTAAAATTGGGTTTTCCTCCTTCTTTTATAACTTCTGGTTAAAGCTTATTAATTTTTGAGGAGGGATATAAGGTTATATTTACAGTATTGTGCGTCATAAGAATATCTTATCACTAAGTCAATTATTGGCCAAAACTAGTTAAATTTTGAGAGTCATTATGTGAGATTATTACTTGCGTGACGTAGTTTAAGAAAAAACCGTATACGTTCATGGGAACATAATCAACATTTTTGGTACAGACTGACCAAAATTTTAAATTCAAGAGAAATTGACATACCACAAGCTTGGGAAGAATATGCAGCCTTGTCTGGTGCCTTCTTTACTTTTACGTACGAATAATAAATATTTTCCAATCTCCCGATTGCTTTACTGATTTCATATAAACTTCGTATTAGTTGAACTTAGTGAATCGCAATGTTAATACATATTATTAAAAGTTGGTCATAGTAAATGCCATTGTACTTTATCGAAGGCTTTCCCGTAGTTTACGAAAGAGAAATACATGAGAAAGTTGTATTCTCTTTTTTTTAACCTGTATATTATATATAATAATATCTGCAATTCGACTGATTAGTTGGATTGGAAATAAGGTTTTTCTCCATAGAGCGGTATACGGAGGTCGTCTGAAATCCTGTGGAGCAGTATGTTGAAAATAACGGCCTGGTTTTTTGTGTTTGAATACCTTTAGGCTCCTGCTTGACCTTGACTTGTCTAAACTGAAAAGGTCCGTGTCATCATCAAAAACAAGTTTTTTCAGGGTGTGTTGTGTGGGATAGTAAGCTGCTTGTGTAGACTGTTTATAAAATAGTTATTATTATTGATCTAATACGAAAACTTGCGGGACTTCTGCTTTTGGTGTGTATTGTTACATATATACATAAATCACTATTTTCAAAATGGTTGTGGTTTTTTGTTTTTTTTTTATGTTTTTGATGACCATTTTTATCTGTAAGTACTAAAAGGTAAATTAAATTTTTATTGTTCTTATTATGTAAATTATGTTTGCAAAAGTGATTGCTAAATCGGAGATGTCAGCAATAATTTTAAAAACGTCTTTTAATAATAATATGGTACCTATCTAAATTGTTTGAAAAATATTATATACAAATTAAAGTATAAAATGTTTTATTAACATTTTAACGTTCAAATAATTTATTGACTATGGCTTCCCATTGGTTCTGATTGGAAAACCAACAAACTTAATATACATTTTATTTTTGAATTAGCTTGGTATTATTGCTATAAAAATTTAAAAAATTAAAATGTAGCAATTTTTTAGTAATGCTGCATTAAAAATTATTAAAGGTTATCAGAAAATATTGTTTTTTTTTTCAAACAAAATAGTGAACTGACCCATACATAAATAAAGTAAAATAAACCGTAATAAGGATACATACAAGTGAACTATGTCTTGAAGATAGATTTTACAAATTCGTTCGGGGCTCCAGCTAGGACTAATGCTTTGGGTGTTGGGTCTGTTCCAGGTAAAGAGGAAGAGAGACAGATGTTCCAACAAATGCAAGCTATGGCTCAAAAGCAGGTGCTTATTATTCAGTTATTATCACCTCATTTCGTCGCGTCCTCGAAAAATTACTTTTTGATAGGAACAAAATTTAAATTTTACTATTGATTTTACATTGGCAAATTGTTGTTAGTCTAAAGGCGGTTAGTATCTAGATTAAGCCGGGACAGACCCACTTTTTACTTGTTCTGAAAAATATTGGAACAAAAATTGTTTTTCTGTTCTTTTTTTCAACCTTTTTTTATTATAGTTTTGCTGCACCATGAAAACTGAACAATGTTGCCATTGCAAAGTAGTTTTTAATTACTGTTAAACCAAATTTGTAGGTATGTTATTATTTCAATTATTGGATATTTGTGCATTAATATTTTAATATTTGGTTAAATTAGTATTTAATAAGCAAAAAACCCATAAAACAACATTTTAAATTACTTTGTACAGTGCGCGTCCAAACTTTCCTCCCTGATTAAATTAATTATACCTGAACTAAGACAACTTTTCTTCTGTTTCTATTACATTTTAGTTACCTAATTATTCACATGCCGGAGGCATTGGGAGAATGTCATTATGAAAAATTATTTTGATATAGCAATACTTTATTTGAAAACTGTTTTAAATGCCTTTCAATTACACCTACAGAAACCTCAGTTTCATCTCAATAAGCTCAAAATATTCATTTCGATTGTAATTAGTTAATAGCCCAATCTTTAGAGAAAAAATGTGCATTAATTAGTGAATTTTCGAAACCAGCACAGCGCACATTATGAAGGGCAATGCCTAAAGTAACCCCCAAGTGTTGCAACTCCAAAGTTGGCACTTTTAAGATGTGAAAATCGCTATTTTTTGATTATTTTTATTGTACCAAATCAACATAATAGGTTGAAGTAAGTACAAGATTATGAACATACTTATAAAAATATTTCATTTAAGCTATGATATCTTAAATTTAATTCAATAGTTTAGGCAAAATTAAGGACTGAAAGTCCAAAAAGGTCAATCAAGTCTTCGTCATTTTTTATTTTTTTAAATAACTTTTGTAAAATTTTTTTTATGCAAGAAGCATTTTATTGTAGCTCCTATAATTAAAAATCGGGTGAGACTTTATAAGATCTAATCTGTCAATTCTTTCTCGAGACACGTTTAATTGTAATATAAAATTAATAATTGTTTATAAATTTTGCAGGGTAGAACTTTATTTTAAGATGGAGATCTAATTTTACATTATTTTTTTTTGATCGATTATACTTTTTTGAAGGAATAAAATATGCGCTCAAATTTTTTATTGCCGTTCTCATTTCGCTCGAGAACAGCTGGTTGGATCAAGACATACGAGATGTCGTTGAAAAGAGAGTAACTCAAGAAGTGAATATTAAAGGGAGACAGACGATAAATTAAAAAAAAACCTTAAGCTTATAGTCCCTAAACGACTTAACGTACAGGACTGTGCAATATGTCATATGATTTAGCGAATTGAATATGATGACAACAATTAAACATGAAATGAGGCGGAAATAATATTAACTATTAAAAGACGAAAACTTGAGTACTTGGGACATGTGATGAGAGGGCAAAAATACGCATTATTACAACTTATTATGCAGGGCAAAATCCGAGGAAAGCGAAATGTGGGAAGACGAAGAATATCCTGGCTTAAGAACTTAAGGGAATGGTTTGAATGCAGTAGTGCAGAACTTTTTAGAGCGGCAGTCAACAGAGTCCGCATAGCCGTGATGATTTCCAACCTTCGATAGAAGATGGAACTTAAAGAAGAAGAATTAAACATGGCAAGAGAGAGGCTGTGACTTTTGAATAAGGCCCCCATCCGATTGAAGGTGGATCCAGCTTTTTTGATGCGTGCTCTAATTAATCTCCTAGTTATTGGTCCATTCTTCATTTATTATGGTGCCGAGGTGGTAGTAGTAGTGCGTCACTTTTTCTACAGGGGATTGGTGGACGTAGAGTTGACCTTCTGTTATCCTTTTTTTGGTTATTAGCATAAAATTTGTCTTCTTATCGTTTATATTGAGTCCCTATTGTTCATAAGAACTTGTAGGTCTTCTATGTTGTCCGCAAATACTATGGTGTCATCTGCATATCTGATGTTGTTTAGGCGGTAACCATTTAGTAGAATACCTTTTTTCAGCTTCGTGCAAAGCTTCGATAAATATTGTTTTAGAGTACAGATTGAAGCTTAAAGGAGACAAAATACAACCTTGCCTCACTCCACGCATGATTTGCACATAGTCAGTGTGTTCACCTTCAACTCTGATATTTGCTGTCTGATTCCAATAAACATTTCTAGTTATTTTCAGATCTTGGTTGTTAATTCCGTTTTTTTTAATATTTGCTCATCTTGGCGTGATGTACTCGATTAAAGGCTTTCTCTTAAGCAATCAGACATGCGTATACGTCGCAGTTGATGTCTCTGATCTCTGGAATAAGACTTGTACTGAGGTACTGAGAACAAAGCCTCTCTAGTATCAAGAGCATTTGTGAACCCGAACTGGTTGGAGGAAATTGGACTTTTACACAGCTTGTATTCTCTAATGAATTATCTTTAGAAACAATTTTAGGAAATGACTCATGAGGCTTATAGTACTGTAATCTTCGCATTTTTTTTTGCTCCTGTTTTTTTTGGGAATTCAATAAACTCAGATTTCAGCCATTCTGTTGGTATTTCTCCAGAGTTGTATATGTTGTTAAATATCTTTGCGATTGTTGCTATTGATTTGTTGTTAATTAGTTTAAGTAGTTCTGCTTATAATATATTCTTGGTCTATCATTTACCTCCTCATCTAGCTCAAAGGTTTTATCTCTTTGGTCTTCAAATAGTTTTTCTAGATATTATTTCTACGTTCTCATTTTATTCTGTTTGTCCAAGATGATGTTTTCGTCAGAATCAGTTATATTTCTTTTCTGTCTTCATCTTAGTCCCCCTGTAAGTTCTTTAACTTTCCTATGTACATTTTGAGTATCGTACTTTGACTGCAGAGTCTCATATTCTTCGCATATTTCCCTTGCTCCTTTTCCTTTCGCTTTTTTGATTTTCGTTCTTACTAAAATATTTATGGTTTTATATTTGTCTGGGTCATTTTTATCTATTCTTCTCTCGTCCATTAGTTTCATGATATCATCTGTCATCCATGATTTTTTCTTTATTTAACTATCTGTCTTTAAATGTTTATCTTTTGTTTGGTCTTCGTTCGATTCGTCTCTAATTGCAGCCACTTGTTCGTTTAGCTTGGCTTGAACTCTCATCCTCGTATCAAGGTCTTTCAGCATACTTAGGTCGTATGATTATGCTTTTCTTTTCTGCACTGTTTTGAGTTTGACTCGAAATACTCCCATCAGTGGAACGTGGTTTTACACTACTTTGGAGTAGTGTAAAATATTTTTTTAATCATGAATGTGCTGCTTGTGTGAGTCCATTTCAAATAGGTAAAGAAATAATAAATAAGACTTACTCACAATCAATTTAATTTAACTATCAGACGACCGGTTTCGCTTTCTACAATATGCAAAGCATCCTCATGTCTCGATACAAAGTTAAACAAATGCTGAAATAATAAAAACCCATATTAGGGTGTTGTCTAATAATGATAAACAAAGTATATGTTGTAAATTACAATAATTATGCCAATATTACATGTCTGTGGTTTTATTTAAATGAGTAAGTTGAATAAAAAGTATAAAAGTTTTAAAAGTTTAAACAGACAAGGTAAGGCCCACAAATTGTTATAAAATAGTCTCTTCGATTGTAATAAATTAATAAATGAGCAAATAAATAAAATAAACATTACTTACATGCCGGTACTCTATTAATTGATGGATGGTAGAACATGGTTGAAACTACTATGTATTGTTGAATGGAGAACTCAAACAGTTTTCCCGTTTACTGTCAAACAACTGCAATAATAGAATTGAGTTCTCCATTCAACAATATAGTAGTTTCAACCATGTTCTACCATCCATCAATTAATAGAGTATCGGCATGTAAGTAATGTTTATTTTATTTATTTGCTCATTTATTAATTTATTACAATCGAAGAGACTATTTTATAACAATTTGTGGGCCTTACCTTGTCTGTTTAAACTTTTAAAACTTTTATACTTTTTATTCAACTTACTGATTTAAATAAAACCACAGACATGTAATATTGGCATAATTACTGTAATTTACAACATCTACTTTGTTTATCGTTATTAGACAACACTCTAATATGGGTTTTTATTATTTCAGCATTTGTTTAACTTTGTATCGAGACCTGAGGATGCTTTGCATATTGTAGAAAGCGAAACCGGTCGTCTGATAGTTAAATTAAATTGATTGTGAGTAAGTCTTATTTATTATTTCTTTACCTTCACGTAGCATGTAGCACTAGCTCTAGATATTTTCTATAAAAAAAGTTTATAATAAAAATTTATATACTTTCAAGAATTTTTATAAACAAATAAACGTATCTTGGAAAGGAATTGATCGATCAGATCTTAAATATCTTATTCTAATTATAATTTAAAGAGCTAAAATATTGGTTTATGCAAATAAAAATAATTATATAATGTATAATAAGTTATTTCAAAAATTAAAAATTGACATTTTTGGGCCTTCAATCATTAATTTTGCATATATTATTGTGTTAAATTTCTTAAAGCGTAAATTAAAGCTTTTTGTATGTACTTGCATAATATTGTATTCATTTTACCCTAAAATATTGATTTAATACAGTAAAAACAAAATTAAAAATAATCAAAAAACACTGTTTTTTACACCTTATAAGTGCAATTAAAACATTATAATTAACAGTCTGGAGCTGCAAAAATCATTTATTTCTGTAGCTACAGCTTGGACTATAACAATTAATGCATTCTCATGTATAAAACTTAAATATATATATTTTTTGGTTGACTACACTGAGTTGCCTGTTCACAGTTTTCGATGTTATTATTGATATAATCATTTATAAGGTAATTTTAAATGGATCTTAAGTAATACACTATTTTTTACAACATTCTACTGG